ATAGATAGATAGATAGATAGGCCTTAAGAGCCCTGGAAAGTGCGTTGGTTCAATAAGTTTATATTCATTTGGTGATTCACCTCCTCTGTTTTTATGACATTTTTTTTAAAACCACTGCCTCTTGTGTATCCCATTTAACTCGATTAAAATAGTGGATTCTTTGTGATCTCATGTTTTGCTTCCACAAACCCAAAAATCAGTGCACAGTTCCGCCATGGTGTAGGATGTTTGTGTTTTAATTGAAAAAAAGTCTGTGGGTATGTGTTGGTGAGATAAATAGCCAGGGGATGTAAGGATGTAGATGCAGAAGTCACATCCTGTGGTCTGTGACAGGAAGAGGGCAGTACCTTGGTGTGTCAGCAACCACCTGCCCGTGACACATACGCGTATCTTCGCTCATATGTGCACAGATTTTTTATTGTGCACATAGAACTGGCTACAAGCTGAGGTCATTCGCTATAAAGGAAAATAAGTGGGACATGAGATGAGAAGATGAAAGCAAAGCGGGGAAGACAGTGAGGAGGCTGTTGCTGACCAGAAAGAAAGCATTGTGGTGATGGGAGTGATGCAATCTGGGAAAAGGACAGCTGGAAAATGAGGCAATTATCTAGTTTAATAGGGCAGGATGTAAACCATATCTGTCATGCACACATCCTGTATGAATGCATGTCTCTTTCCTTCTCCTCCTAACGAGAATAAGCATTGATTTACTGGCAACTTCCCAACTTGAAGTCTAGTCACTCAGAGGAAGAAAGCAGGAAAGGGTGAGTAGTTTTCAGAAAAAGTCACATCCTAAAGATCACCAGTGGGTGGCCTGAGGGCAGCCTCCCTGCGGAAAGATAGGAGGTGTTGCAGGAAATAAGGTAATACGCAAAGTAATTACTTCATTTCCTGTTCATAAAGGAAGCAAGCACTGAGCCAAATTTCAGGAAAGCTTTTTATTTCCAAGAGACAAAGTCCTGCCATCGAGATTTGAGTGGGATTGACCTATTGCTCACATGACATTGGCAGAGATGTGGGGTTTTTTTTTTACACTCTTTTGTCTTATTGTTGTTGGCAGGAGAATGCTTGTTTTATTAGACAGCAGCTGGGGGATTACACACACACACACACAGATGCACATTTAAAGACCTTTCTACATGTGTGCTCCAGGCAAGAAGGGTCGACAAAGTCGTAAATGTCTTCCTAAAGGAACAGCATTCGTCTCAGGCAAATACAAAAAGAAAGAAATTACATAGTTTGGTTTTAATGTGTTGCGCTGCATATTACTACACACACGCAAACAATCACACGCTTACAGCCAATAATGAGCTTTTGCAAGTGATGTGGGGGCAATAATTTCATTTGTTTATGACATCTGACATAATACTGCAGCTGGCCTGAGTGAGTGGATCTATAATGAGGAGCTGTGTGTGTGTGTGTGTGCTGTATACCCAGCATGCTTCAGTTGGACTCCCATCGCTGTTGACCAGAGTTTCTTTCCATTGGCCTTCACCAAACGGAACAACTGACTCTCTTTCTTTTCTGAAATGCACTCCCTCCTTCTCCCTCTCTCATCCTATGCAAAAGGAGCGCTCTGCCTCCTGACATCCATAGCAACCGTTGTTTGATTCTTGTAGATCTTCCATTAAACAATAAACTCACATCACTGCATATGAGCAAGCTGCTCCCTTTACCTCAAAATCCTGGATCTGGCTTCCTTCAAGTAGAGTTGCAAAGTCTCCATGTCTTTATGTAAAAGTCAAGGGCTCAAGAGTGAGTAAAACAGTAAAATATTTCCAATATTTCCAAATATTCCATGGTCTACATCAGGGATTCCCAACTGGAGGTACTGTAGCCTACCCCAGGTACCCCAGCAGTTGCACGTGGGTATGTGGAAAGATAGTAGCTCAACTAATTTAAAAGAATAGAAATTATCATTTGAATTAAAAAATATATCCTCTTATTGAGTCAGCTGTATTAAGTTAACACCAGGTTTTAAGAGTTCTGGAAAACTAGTTAGCAAGCAAGAAGAGTTTTAAATAGTTAGCTGAAAGTGGTGGATGAAAGCTTAAACAGAAAGCTTAAAGTAATGGATAAACAGTTAAACTAGTTAGCTTAAAGTCATAGATAAATAGTTAAAGTAGTTAGCTTAGAGTAATGGATTAACAGTTGAAATAATTAGCTTAACATAATGGATAAACAGTTGAAACAGTTTAAAGTAATGGACAAATAATTGAAATTATGAGTTGTCAATGAAGGGGTATTTGAGTTCGGTGGACAGGGCTGTGGTCCTACAACTGACCAGAAAGGTTGGGAACTACTGCCCTACATCAAAAGACTGTATTAGCTTGGGCTGTCATCTCCTATGCCACTGTAAATAGTGACCATTTCCTCCTCCTGCCACTGCTGTAGTTACTCAGCCCATTAGTGTGGTCCAAAATAGCCAAGTGCGACGGTGAATAAGACTTTGTCAAGTCACCTGAGGGACTCATGAAAGAGGCGTGGGAGCCTTAAAGTTAAAACAAATGTTCAGTGTCACTCAACAGCAGTCTTTTGACTGAGCTGAGGGCAAAGTTAGGCTTTTGTAGAAAAGAAAACAATGAATGTGTAAAAGAGAAGCATAAGGTTTCAAGTACAGTCAAATCGAGCCTTAAACACCCTTTTTCACAGTGAAATGTGTCCAATTCTGAGATGCTGAAGTTTGTTTTTGACTTTCCCGCTCATGTGGATGTGCTGTAACAGTGGCAAACAGTGAGTCTTTATGTGTCCACTGGAGCTCCATGGGTGAGTCAGAACCAGAAAGGGCTCATTCAGGGGTGAAGTCTAAACACTGAGACCTCCATGTCTCTCCAGAACAGACAGAGAGGGAGAGATTAGACCTCCAAGGCCCTCCGAAATGCCATTCTGCCGTTCATTCCTGACCAAACTCACACAAGTATAGTCATGTGTAAATATAAACCTACAGAGCTAAGCACATATTCAGATAATCTATGCACTACTTCCACAGTTCCACATTACGGTATTAGTGGAGAAATGCTGAAACAAGGCAGTTCAACATGTTTTGCCTTCATTGTATTTAGCAACCTTTAACGGCAGATGGGCTATACAGCAATTATTGAGTGGCTCTGGGTGTGGTTGTTCATAAGTATTTACCCTCAAGTCCCTGGGTTTTCCATAAAAGAGGGATGAGGGAGAAGAGAGGAGAAGGGGTGGAGTGACGAGGCGAAGACAGAGACATGGACGTGGGGGGAAGAGTTTGACTTTGAGGTTTGGATGCGAGGAGGAAGAAATTCCTAGTTAAATTACTGACTGACGCTGCCGCTCAACTGGAGACATCGGCTGAGGTTGCCCAAGGCCTATGTCTCACCCTGGGACACTCCCTATCGTTCTCTTCCTTCTTTTCTCTCTCTCCCAATCCCCATCTCTGCACAAACACCCACTATAGCTATCGTAATGTGCAGATCACATTAAGTCACCTCACATCAAGCGGAAACGTGCAAGGCTTGACGAAAGGTCATTTTCGACGGCTAACCTTTATCAGTCAGGCCCATAGTATATCCAAACAATAAAACACATCCTAAAAGCTCACAGAGTGACTGTGTACAGCAGAATATCAAACTAGACTCGGTTTTCACTGTGCTCACAATAGTCCCAGTGTTATTTTTCCTGCTCTAGTTTGAGAGGAAAAGAGTTTAGGAGAGGCTGTGTGGGAGAGGTGCGGAGAGAAGCCGCTGGCACAGGTCCAGATGTCAGAGCAGCACTGCAGTGAAATGGGTTTCCAGGGGAAAGTAAGGTCAAGCTAAGCTGAGGCTGAGAGATCACGAGGCATAAAGAACTCCATCATAACCATGACCATCATAATATGTGCTTGAAGGGCTTCAAACTAATGCCTTCTTCATGTGCAAACTCAACAGATGAGCTCAGTTATAACTGTTGCAATCTGAAACACAAACAAGTAGCTAGAAAGTAACATTAGTGTAGAAACTTGAAGTTAATCTTTAACTCTTTGGAGGGGGATTTCCTCATTCAGTTCCTGTCTCAGTGTTCTTGTCGAAACCTGAACTTTGTTTGAAACCTTTTTTGGGCTTAAGCTTGGCATTATTCTTTCACATTGTTTCAGTCAACTATGGTCCTCACTGTAGAGCGGAATGTTGATGGTTGAATAGCTTTTGTGTTTAGTCATTAAATGGAAACTTGCCAGCTGCTTTAAATGATGTTGCTCTGACCGTCCAAATATCTAGATAGCAAAACACAGAAACATGTTATTTAGGACCTTATTTTTGCTGTCAGCGAGGAATGTGTTTTTGCTGCAGTCGAATAAAAACATCCTGAAATTGTATTCCCTGTAACTTATAATCAACAGCATACCAAATAGTTGCTTAAATCTGGTTCTGGCTTTGATAAACAACAAAAGTCAGGTGGGATATCATGTGTCTCTGTGTCTGTTTCTAATTTAACCCTCCCCCCCTTCTTCATACTGAGACTGGAGTTTCCTCAGATTCATTGTGCAATATTTCTCATGAGCCACACTGTTGTCTCCTTCTTGCTTTGCTTTAAAGTCATGGCTGCAGCAGTATGGTTACCTTCCCCCGGGGGACATGAGGACCCATTCCCTTCGCTCCCCTCACTCCATCCCCTCGGCCATCGCCAACATGCAGAGGTTCTACGGCCTCACTGTCACCGGAACCTTTGACACCAACACAATTGAGTGAGCACCTTCACACAGCTTTATTCTAAGTAGTAAAATTACAGCATACAAATTAAAGCAGTCATTTTTACGTTGTTTTGAGCGGACCATGTCTTGTCTTTGGCAGGGCCATGAAGCGGCCACGCTGTGGCGTGCCAGATAAGTTTGGTGCCGAACTGAAGAGCAACCTGCGGAGGAAGCGATACGCCACCCAGGGCCTGAAGTGGAACAAGAACGACATCACTTTCTCGTAAGTCAGCCAATCTGAATGTGCTGAAACTGCAGAGACAAGATGGAACAGTACCTGAAGCACACCATTTTACACAATGACTTTTTTGATTAGTTTAATGTTTGATGTAAGACAACCCAAGCTGCTGAGGTGACTATTAAGCAACTGATGTGGTTTTTCTATGAAGACGAAATAACATTAACTCTGTTTTACCTTCTCCACCCCCCACCCCCACAAACCTACACACACATTTCCCCACTCTTCAGTATACAGAATTACACCCCTAAGGTGGGTGAGTACGAGACCCACGAGGCCATCAGGAGGGCCTTCAAGGTGTGGGAGAGTATCACCCCGCTCCGCTTCCGGGAAATCCCCTACAGTTACATCCGGGACAAGGTGGAGGAGTTTGCAGACATTATGCTGTTCTTCGCAGAGGGTTTCCATGGTGACAGCAGCCCGTTCGATGGCGAGGGGGGCTTCCTGGCACACGCCTATTTCCCTGGTAATGGCATCGGTGGGGACACCCACTTTGATGCAGCTGAACCTTGGACTATTGGAAACAAGGATCTGTCAGGTAAGGCTCTGTTGGATCTATGTTGAAACTGATATTTTGATAGAAAGGATTTTTTCTTTTGTGATTCCTTTAAATGTGATGACACAGATGTTGGGAGTTGCTTTGTATTTTGGCAGTCAAGACTGAATTGTGCTGTTGTAAGCAAAACGCAAGCAGCAACAGGTCCAGTCTTGGGTCAGTACATTTGAGGAAGGAATGCGGGAAATCCCCTACAGCTATGTGTGCTTTATGTAAGATTACGTAAATGATGAAGTGTTTATTTCTGGTAAAGGACAAAGCTTTGCAACATCAGTTGTTTTAGTCAGACACATCTTCACATGACCTGCATCATTTTATTTTTGTTTTACTGATGTAATAAGTTTTTGCCTGTGCTTGAGTCACTTATAAAGAAAGAGAGAGAAAAAAAAGAGAAAAAAGAGAAAACTGCAACATTTGCTCCTTCTCGTTTAGTTCCCATTGTCTCATTAGCACAATAAAACTCCCCCTTTTTTATGTTTCCCACTTTGCTTTCATTTATTTGGGGAAAAAGGTAAAATGAAATGGTGTTTTGATGTTGACTCTGTTTTAGGTAATGATATTTTCCTGGTTGCGGTGCATGAACTGGGACATGCTCTGGGCCTGGAGCACTCTAATGACCCTTCAGCCATCATGGCTCCCTTCTACCAGTGGATGGACACCGAGAGCTTCCAACTTCCTGACGACGATCGCAGAGGCATACAGCAGCTTTATGGTGCGTTACCGAGAGTTTACAATCGAAGTGATCAAAAAAGAGCTCTATATTTATCTGCTGGTTGCAATTTTCACTATCAGATTCAGAATTTAAATGACACACCAAAAGAAACCTGTAGACTTGAAAAGTAGATGTTAAACTCTAATTTTGGTCTTTGGTAGTCTGTACTGTTCTCTCTGTATAACTTGTAATCTACATGGGGGATCATTACATTTAATTTGATGTAACAGGACAAGCATTAAATGATGTTGACAAGTTATGTTTCTCGGAAAATCATTTTCATATGTCTTTGTTCACATAGGGTCTAGATCAGGCCCTCAGCCACCCCCTGTAACACCCCGTACGCCGTACCACAGCCCCCAGCCCACATATTCACCTGACAAGCCTCGCTTTGGCCCCAACATCTGTGATGGACACTTCGACACCATCGCCATCCTCAGAGGAGAAATGTTTGTGTTCAAGGTAAACCCACGCAACCTTGTTGGACTTTTGATATTCCAGTTTGTCATAAATCTTGTTAATAAATCTTTTTTCTCTTTCAGGATAAATGGTTCTGGAGGGTACGTAACAACCATGTTCTGGATGGATATCCCATGCCGATTGGTCACTTTTGGAGGGGATTGCCGACTCATGTCAATGCCGCTTTTGAAAGTGAAGATGGGAAGTTTGTTTTCTTTAAAGGTAAGTCTGGTTTTAGTATATTGAGAAAACATTTACAGGTTTTCCCTTTCCCTTCATCATCATCATCATGCGGGCAACATTGTCCGGTTAACTCATAAGTGTTCTTCCTCTGTTTCTGTATCTCTGTGTGTCCCAACTGCCAGGTGACAGGTATTGGGTGTTCACTGAATCAGTTCTGGATCATGATTACCCTAAAAGTATAAAGGAAATGGGCAACGGGCTTCCCAAAGACCGAATAGATGCTGCTCTCTTCTACACCCCCACTGGACAGACATTTTTCTTCAGAGCAAACAAGTAAGTCATCTTACATGTGTGTACAGAATCCCACTATGGGTGAACTTCATAAATAACTGATACGAAGGAAAATCTATTTGCGTCACCACCACCAAAACGTGTTTGAATGTTGACCATTTAAGGTCCAAATTCTTGAAGTCAGTCATTTATCCTGAATTACTAACCTGCTTCTCATTTAAACATTAAAACAGACGTTGAGGGAGTTTGTTAAGCCTCCACATGTTTAACCAAAGTCATAGTTAAACTGGGTAAAATATGGCAGTCAGTGATTACAGTGCAAAAATTCACCTAAATAAACAGTTCATGACAAGTGGATGCTCATTCTTTTTTGTAAACAACTGAGATTGCTCATGCCTTATGACCAGTCTGGCTGCTGGAAGAGTTAACAACAATCCATCTGCCATATTGTGGCAGAAACAACACCAATTTTGTGGTCCTTCTAGTGGTTTGGTCCAGTAGAAACAAACACACTGAATCAGCTGAATCAGAGCAGGTCTCTTTTTTACTTTTGGGGATCAAGTCCAAGTCAGGTCCCAAGTTATTCAAGAGAACTCAAGACAACAAGTCAAGTATTAATGGTTATAGGAACAGTCTACACCAAGTCTCAAGTCACAAGTCCTTCAGAGCAAGTCCCAAATCATGTAGGCCAGGTCCAAGTCAAGTCTTTCTTCAGTCAGAACAAGTCTGAAGTCAAGTACCAAATTCTTTTAGGTCAAAGAAAAGTCTCAAGTGAAGTCTGTCAGACCAAGTCTCAAGTACCATCTTAAGTATTTTGGGGCCAGTACAAGTCTAGTCACAAGTCCTCATAATCGAAGTTTAAGTCAAGTAGCAGGAGGAGTCTGAATGTGACCATCTGTTCTTTGTTTAGGTATTACCGTTTCAACGAAGATACACGCAGTGTTGATGATGGCTATCCAAAATTAGTTAATGTGTGGCAGGGAGTGCCTGACAACATCAAGGCAGCTTTCATGAGCAAAGATCAAGGTAAGGGTGGTGTGTATAATATTACTTAGATTATTTTTTCACATTGTAATGTGAACCGAAGGAGCTCTTCAGTAGCTTCAGTTCAGGTTTGTTTCTCACATTTCTTTCTTCCACCCCTTAGCGTACACCTACTTCTACAAAGCCAACAAGTACTGGAAGTTCAACAACCAGATGATGCGCGTGGAGCCGGGATACCCCAAATCAGCCCTACGTGACTGGATGGGCTGCCCCAACGAAGACCCCAAGACAGATGGAAGAGGAGGTGGTGGCGGACACGACAAGGACAAGGAGAGGGAGAAGGAAAAGGAACGGGAGGATAAAGACAGAACTAGAGATAGAGAGAGGGACAGAGAGAGGGACAGAGAGAGGGAGAAGGAAAGGGAGAAGGTGGAAGAAACGGAGGTGATCATTACTGAAGTGGATGTGGAGGAAGGGGTCAGTGGTGGCAGTGGAGCAGCGGCGGTGGTGGTGCCGCTGTTCCTGTTAGTGTGTGTGATTGCGACGCTGGCAGTCTTGGTGTTTTTCCATCGGTACGGTACCCCACGCCGACTCCTCTACTGCCAACGATCTTTACTGGACAAGGTGTAGACGGAGGGAGAGAGGAGAGAAAGACCAGGAGAGAAAGAGGAAAAAAAAGAGGAAGGAAATGTTGAAGGCAGATAATAAGAGCAGGAAAGAAAGAGATACAAGTGGAGAAAGAGCAGAAGGAAAGTACCAGACTTGCATTTTAAAATATTTTTTACCACTGCCAGATTCCTTTTGCTCTATCTCTCAACCACTCCGTCCTTCCACTTTTTTCATTTTTTTTCACTCCCGTCTGTCTCTGTATGCCTCGTGGTTACTGACGCCAGCTCATTGCTGTTTGTTTTAGCCTTTTTCAATGTCTTATTTTTAGTTTGTGTCAGTGGTCAGTGTTTGTGTCCTTGTGAATTTCCGCTTCGAACCTGCATCTTTCATGATGCCCATTCTAGCATGTTCCTTTGAGTAAGCAAAGAGCGCGTTTGATCGCTTGTTACAACCCCTCGTTAACTTGCACACACTCACATCAACACAAATATTTGGAAACCACAGTGGCATAGTCATTGTGTTTCTTAATCTTCCAGTAAAGTTACGTGTCAGAGCCAGTATGGACCATAAAAGGGAAACAAAACATTAGCTTATGTCCTTACGAAGCATGAGATACACTCCTGTCAGAGTAAAGCAATAAATGCAACTGTGTCCTTTCCTTTTTTATATCAATGTCTTTAGTGGTGATTATTATTATGACTATTACTATTATTGTTGTTGTCCTCTGTGTAAAGAATGTGTTTTTGTACATTGTCATTAAAAAGTCCTGCTGGACAGTGACATACAGTTTTGAAAGTGGCCTTAATTTTATATGTGGGGACAGTGAATGGGGAAGGGGGTTATGTATTCTTGAAACTTGATTGTTTTTCTTTTTTTTTTTTTTTACCTTGAATCCATCTCAAATGAAAATAAATTGAAGATCTGAAAATGACTCCTTTTTGTCATTGTACTTGTTTACAAATAATGGTGCTTTATTAATAGTCAGGGGTTATAAGCAGTGAAACAACAATGATAATGATACTAGTGATGATGATAATAATGATCTAGTTTTCTCACTGAGATTGTGTGTGCTCTTACTTATATTTTTAATCTTTTCCTACCGAATAAAGTCATTTCAAAAGGCTTTATGTGCTTTGATTTTCACTTAGCAAATCATTCACCTAATCTTTCTTCCTTTGTGCCATCTCTAAACTGCGTTTAGCTGAACTGGAACCACTCACCCCCTTTAATTCAGTCATTTTCCAACTTAGACTTAACTGCTTTCATATCATCCATCTCTTACCTGCACTATGTACCTCTCACACTGATCACACAGCTCCTCTGCCTGGTCCTCCCCAGTCTTCCTGGACCTCCAGGTTTCTTGCTCCCCGACTGCACCACTCTGCGTTACTGGGGCTCGGAAACTGGCAGGCCAGAAACTGGGTCGGAAAACGCGGACTGGATCCAAAGCTTAAGTAGAAACAGGGATGAAGACGATTGTGTGAAGCCGTTGCTGCACAGCAGGAAAACATATCTCAGCTATATGGTTATAGAGAGTGTGTGTGTGTGTGTGTGTGTTCTTGTGTTTCCATACTTATGAGGACCAACAAGCCTTCACAAGAGTGGGAAGATGAGGAAAATCATGCAACCTTTCTTCAAGGCTTAAGGTTTGGATTTAGGGCTCGATAAGTTGTGGAGAGGTTTCATTTTTTGGAATGGGCTCAGTGAGAGAATGCAGTCAGTCTAAGTCCTCACAAGTACAGCAATACAAACATGCTCTCATGCATGTTTTTGTGCAGCTATAAATGCCTTTATTTGTGCATTATGCACGGTGTATGTGTGCACTCCCATCAACCACCAACCAGCCAATAAAAGCTCAAACAGCAAACTTAGGCGTCTCCCCACTCCTTAATGATCCCACTAATGAACAACTGCCATACAACCATCAGACTCACTGTAAAGATGACTGACTGCGAGAGAAAGCGAGTGGGTGGGGGTCAGCGCCTACATGATATGTTATGATTACAGCAATGGGGCTTTTTGCAATTAAAATGATGAGGTATTTTCCTATTGTGCCGAACAGATTTAGGGCGCCCATTTGTCTCTACTTCCCTGCAGTGTTGTGAAGAGCCGGGGCGGGGAGAGAAGTCACAAGGCTTTTTTTTTTTTTT